AGCCCCGCGGGCTCCCTCGCCCTGCTTCCCGGCAGCTGCCGTCCAGCTAGCGTGGGTAACAGCTGCCAGTTAGCTGGGTCGCAGCTAATGACGTTACGCTGCAGTCTGCAGCGCTCCAGAAGGGCGAGAGCTGTTTGATACATTCTGCTCGATGCAGCGTTTAAGGCGGGTTCTTTTTCCTGTCAGAAAGTTTTAATAAAAGCAGAAAAGGCGGCTGTATGTGTCAGCACCTGAGAAGCGGGGTCCTGAGCCGGGCTGCAGCTGTTGAGTGCTGCTCGTGCCAGAGCGCTGTTCTGCTCTAGAAATACTGTTGATGCTTCGTTACGGTTCAGTTCCATTTCTCCTATTTATTCAGCTTCGCTTCAGAGACCTCCCCTCCTCTTCCTAGGCAGTCCAGCCTCGTTCACTCAAGAGCATTTTTCTACTTTTTTTTTTTTTCTTCTTTCTTCTTCTATGTCTTCCTGTCTTTCCCCTTTTCAATGGTGTCGTGGTCCGGTATTCTTTCATTCTGCTTAATTCTTCTTCCCCTTGACAGAAGGGGCCTGACAGCGGGTTATGTCCTCCTGTAACTCGCCTGGAAACCTCCCAGAATGTTTAGTTATGTCTGAAAGTGAAAAAAAAATGCTGCACGAGTAGCAAACAAGCAGTTTCTTCAGCCTGAAGGAAGAATGAGGATATAACAATTGCAAAACATCAGCACAGAATGAAATATAATTTAAAACAATTCTTAATTAGTTCAAAAGACTTTTGTATCGACGAAAGAGTGGTAATTTCATTCTCAGGAAGACACTTTTTTTTGGTATTGCTTTAATTCCAGCGTTTCCACTGATACACTGTACAGCTGGAATTTCTGTTACTTGGCTCCACACCCCGTACACGTCTGGTGGGATGCGCGCTCCCGCTGTGCCCCCCCTGCACCAGACTGCCAGTGGTGGGATCCCTCTCTCCTCACTCCTACAGCTTCCACGATTGTCACGTCTGAGAAAACGTGCCGCTTGACAGAGACAGAGGGAAATCTGCATCTCCCATCTCCTGTCTGTGTTACGTCACCTGAGTATCTGCTTGCCTTTTGGCCAGATTTTGTAAGTTCCCGGCCGTGCCTGCAGGGACACTGATTGGCTTGACTGCCTTATCTAGAGGGAATTCCCAAAAGAGAATTCACTTCAGGATGATCCAAATCCTTTTCACTAGTAGTAGCAAACAGTTGTTTACAAATTACTCCACTGGATCCCACTTCCCTGGGTGTCTTAACAGGAGAAAGTGTGTTTACTGTGCATTTCCCACTGAAATCAACAGGAAAAAATGTTGATGAAATGGTTGCTTGACTCCCGAAATGTGCTCTCCTTTGCCAAAAGGTGCTACCGTCACACGAGGCACGGCTGGGGAAAGATTTCTTGACTCCTAAGTGCATCTGTCTGCAACCGCTCCGGCTGAAATAAAGGTTGTGAGACTAATGCACAGTAGTTCTTGGTGAAATTCTGTTGGTTTTCTGTTATGGCAGGTTCTGTTATGGTTTTTTTTGATTGTAATTGTGTTTATTTAAACTATTTTGAAATCTCTTTCGAAGCTTATTATTACCCCTAAAACTAAATCTGTCAAAGTTGCACCAGCATTACAATTTAACCCTACATGATAACTTCACTCACAAAACTAAGAGCTTCTACCTGCACCTCAGCAGAAAATTAGGTAAATCTTTGTCACTTCTTTCACCCTTAAATGTATGTAATGCATATACACAAAAGTTTTACTGATACAGTGAGAACTTTAGTGTTAAAAATCCAGTTGCCAGCATGAACTAAAGGTCTGTAACATGAAATGCTGCTACCATTTTTAGTGTGCTTGCTATGGCAAGATGTTGGAGGTATGTGCTGGACTACTTGTGGAAGTTAAGGTGACTCTGCAGTAATTTTCTAGAAGAAGTAAGCTGCTCTTTGGAGAAAACACAATTATTTTCATATAAAATGGAAAGATGAAATTAGTATAGCAATGTTTGAGCCAGATCACGTGCCTTTTAGATTTGTCATAAGGGTAGCTTTCAGGGGACGCTGAGCGAGGCTGTTGTAAATGCTTTGGAGTTTTGGCCGTATCTCTCTCAGTTTATGCAACGTGAAGGAGGATGCAACCCAACACTGACAGGTGCTTCTGGACTCCGCTATGGTATAAATACGAGAAAATAACATAGGGCTGACTTGCAATATCAGCTCCCGCTTCAGGTGGCCTGTTCTGTTTTGTTCTTTTCCTGCTCTTCTCTCTCCTCCTGTCCTTGCTTTACCTCCTTGCCCATACTCGCTTTGCCTTCCCGGTAAGACCGCTTGGCTCTTTGCCTTTGTTGCTGTGGGTCCTGCAGGACCGCCCTTGCTGCTTGCAGCACCCCTTCCGGCAGTAATTCTCCACTAGCCCTCTCAGCTCGCCTTTCCCAGTTGCCGATCTCATGCCCTTAGCACACACCCCGCTTCTTAATACTTCTTAGTGCACCTTCCTTCCCGTGACATCCGGGCTGCTTTTGCTCCATGAAAGCCTCTCCGCGTGGCCATTCCCAGTGCGCCTGCCAGTGCCTGCTCCGCACCACCTATGGCCAATCTTACCCTGCCACCTCCTCGGTCATTTCTGGATCCTCCCTATCTGTTCCTCCCCTGCCCACCCTGCCAGCCACTCCATCCCAGGGTGCTCCCAGCTCTGCCTCCCCAACTGCCATCTTTCTTTGCTTCTTTTAACCAGCTCATTTCAACTTCAATTTCCAGAGCAATCCTCTGCAGCTGCTCTTCTCATCAGTCTGCTCTTCTGGTCCCTTGGGAAACCTGCTCATTCTCCCTCCTCCCGCATTAGTGTCTCCTCTCACCCCTGGGGTTTGTTCCCACCATATCAGTGCTTGTCTTCTGCTGTCGCCGTCCAGGTGCCACAGGACCTTCTGGCCTCGCAAGTTTCACGTTATACGCTGACCAGCTGCAGTCAAAGTGCACAGAATGGCTGGGGCTGGACTGGTAGATCAAAATCCTGTTATACTTTCCCTCTTCAGGGTCTTCAGATGAGGTCTGGATGCTGATTGTGGTACTTGGCAGGGAGTGTGGGCTCTGTAAGAGACTGGCTGGTGGCCTGGGGGTGATAGGGATGTAGCCGGAGTGAAGGACGTTGTGTGAGAGGGTGGAGAGGGGCTTCGCTGTGTCTGTCCTCCACAGGCAGGCTCGACTGTCATCTCAGTGGCGTGTCCTGTAGCAGCATTGCTAGCAGCTGGCCTTGGGTTGGGAGAGAGCAGCCCTCGGAAGTGGGGAGATGCCCATACCCTACGGGAGCTACGTGTCCCCCCACAGACCTTCAGTCCCTTCTGAGTGCACAGCCAGGAGCCCTGCATGTGCGTTGAACTGCCGTACCCTCCCTCCCCTTCTCCCCCTGCACTGACATAGCCTGCCCTGTGCTCTGCCTGTGAACTGCAGGGCAGAACTGTCAAAACCACCTCCCCAAAAAATAATCTCTGCTTCAGAGGCTGGAAAATGTGACAGCTCATTTTCATACGCAGAGCGATGCAGTGGGTGTCTGAAAGCAGCTGAGGCTGAGCGGGTGGCCAGGGAAAGGCAGCTCTGAAATGGCAGGAAAGTGGCAGCCGGGGAACACGAGAGGGAGGACGGAAGGAAGGGAGCAAACCAAGAATGTGGAGGGGGCGGAAGGAGGGCCGGAGGCAGCAGACGGCGAGTTCAGGGCAAGAGAGGGTTGCACAGTGTGGGGCTATTCTCTTTTCCCTGGCAGGCCTTCTGCTGCTTGCGTTCATTTATTAACAATTGGAAAAGTGTCTCTGCAGTTGCAGAGCTTTATATATCAGATAACTGGGGAGGTGGAGCATATAATCAGCAGCAAGGCAGCCTGTCTTCTTTTTTGTCTCCTTTAAGTTCTTTTCCGTTCTTCTTCATACCCCATTTTCCTCACACATCCCAACCTTAGGAAAAACCTGCTTTGTCCTGGTTCTGCAATTGCTTATTAGAATACCAGGTGAAAACCAGAACTTACTTGTCATTGAGACTTCAGTTTATGGGTTTTAGTTTGCTTTACCAGTCTGATTGCCAGATGGAGCGAGTCCTGTTTGGCTGGCAGCGCCATGTTCCTCCCCAGCCCTACATGATACTAACCCCAGTTTCTGTGTACGTGCATTTCACACAGTATTGCTCACGGCCCTTTTTCTCCAGAACATTTGTGGCTGTTCCTGAGTCACCGCAGTTCCAATCCTGCCGTGCCTGCTCAGCGCCGTTCAACGGAAGGCTTCGGAGGCTGTTAGCAGTGCTGATGTTTGCACTGCTGCCATAGGAGACAGCCTGGCAAGGGGGGGGGGGAAACCTCAAACACCCCTAATGAAGCCTAGGACAGGTAAGAGAAACTCTTTTTGGCAAGTGAGCGGTTTTCAGTGAAACTGATTTTCTCTGGCAATCACTGGAAGCAGCTAAGGGATCACTGTCAGTTCACATGTATTTGTATTTTCCGTTCAGTTTCCCAGAGAAGCTGGGGATGTGGTTTTATGCCACCCAGGAGAAAACGGACACGTCGGGGTTTTTCATTGGGAAGATGTTTAGGATTTTGACTTTTAAGCACGCGTGGGTTATTTATGTATGCCTATTACACTATATCTTAAGTTTAAATTTCCCAGAAAACCACTTATCAAGCCCGCAGGTCATATTCTTCTGATGTGGAAAGCTAAATTGTCGTGGGATTGGGAAGACAAATTAGGGAAGAGAATTGGCAACACAGCTGGTAAATCACTAGCCAGCTGTGTAACTGCAGTCCTCTCCAGCAGTCTAGGGACTGAGGCTAAGTCAGGCGAAACTCCAGTCTCCTGAATTTCACCCTGTTCTTAAGAAATACAGCTCTGTTATCTGTGGCTTATCTCGGCTTTGGCATGTGGAATTAAGAAGGCGTTTTAAGTTGTTCCTTTATCCTAAACTCTTGGCTTCTACATACTAATAAGCAAGAGCCATTTTCCACTTCTTGTGACGGGACATCAAGGGGTGTTTTTAACCTCTGATGTTAGACATATACTTGTTTCACAGAAAACTGTGGGGTAGATGGTTATTTTAGTCAGAGCAGAAAGAACCTAGGTGAGTAAGTGATTGCTTCGGTACCCTCTAAAGATTGTGAGAGATTTTATATTCAATTCCTTCAGTGCAGGATCAGGTTGTACACCAACCAGAACTTTCCTCAGGTCCTGTGGCTGTCACAACAACTGTGTTTCTTCTCAGGACACTGGACAGGATGATGGTACCGTCTACAGTCCTGCTTCTCATCTATCTTTTTGGAAGGGCAGCCAGAACAGTTGTCTGGTCAGCTCAAACCAGCCAAGTCGCATACTCGCTGCATGTCTTGGTCCAAGAAATCCTGGGAATTCTCTATAGTGGAAATCAGGAGTTAATATTGGAATGATTTGTTGATTCTTTCCATGTAGATCATGCTTCCTATTTCACTTCACATGGTGTGACCACGTGTATATTTTTGTTTAGTATCTTGTGTGGTCTTCCTTCACTTGTGCAATGCTGGTGGTTTTGTTGATACCTCCAGTAAAGGGCAACGTTGTTGGGTCCTATGCGTGTTGTGGAGATGTGCCATTTCACAAGAACATGGATACCTTTGGAGAGCTGTGGAAGCGTATGGCAAAGTGGCATTGTTTATTTGCAGGTGGAGCTGGGAAAATATCAGAAAACACAACTGAGAACCTTTTCTGCTTGCGAGGATGACATATGGGTCTGTGCATTCCACCACTTTGAATGGTGTATTTATTATATTCAGAGTTTTCCTGGTGTCATGATTTATTTAACTATCTAGTATAAAACCTAACTGATCAATCTGAATTTCTGCTAACAAAATCAGATACTTAGACGCTGAACTGTCAGCCAGTAAGATGAGGAGACAGCCTCTAAGCGCTGTAGCATGAGCTTGTGTAGCTGTAGCTAACAAAGCCACCTGTGCGTGCTACAATCAGATAAATGTTTTTCCCGATGGAAGCATTAGAAACACATTTGTGTGCTTTTTCATGCCAAAACAGAATTTACTTTTTACACAGTGACTTAATGGCTGCTACATTTCAAGAGTTCTTCTGATGGGCTAAATCCTGGAGGTATGAAGGAGATGAGTTGGTGGTGTGGCCAGGGCATCTCATGTGACATATCAATATGGTATAGAAGTCAGTAGGGACAGCTTTGCCTTTCCTCCTAACACAGGTAACAGCATTTCTACACCTCCCATTATAGGTATTTTGATAGAATTCATGTGAACAAAGGTCCTTCTTTTCTTTAAACCTATCTACCTTTAACAATTTTTGAACTATTGACTAGTTTCAGCCCCATATGACAGATGAGATAGAGATGTTAATAGCTCCTGCAGTGTTAATTTGCTGATGCTAATATTTGAGCCCACCCCCACTGCATACCTGTTAGTTTATACTCAAGCAAGCAAATGGTCTCTGGATAGGAAAATGCAGGTGCAAAAATGCAGGTAGTGTGTCCTACATACAATACAGGCTAAACTGCATCCAGTTTGGCTCCCTGCACCCAATACACTCCTCCCGTATGCGTCGACAGGCCTTGAGCTCTCCCATATCCCGCTGCTGTCTCTTGCCAAATGCCTGGCTCACATACCACGCCCTTGGCATCCTGGTACAAAACACACCACTGGCATGCTGTTAAGCAATCTGCTCGCTATTAGTAATTTATTTCTTTTTTTTTTTTCCCCTTAAGATGTCACAGGAACTGAGTGCAGAGGGCACACTTGAGGGACCTGTGGAGATCAAGGCCTTGTGTTTCATTTGAAGAGACGTCATAAGAGTCACAGCTTTGCTGCTCAGATAGTCTCTTGGCAGGAATATAAGGATTGAGCAATATTACTTTAAGTTTTTAAAAAAGAGCCTATATGAAAGCCAGCTTTGGTGCTGCTCAGTGCAAGTATCTCCACTGTGATCTCAGGTCTACGTGAGGTGCTGCAGCGGAGATCCCTGTTTAGTCTCCAAACGCACGATGTGCAGAGGTGGTATTGGCTTTGTAAGAGACCACGGGGAGGGAACCCCCATCAGTGGGGTTGCCCTCACGACCAGAAAAACTTGCCCAAAGATTTTCATCAGGTGCCAAACCCCTGGACTTTGCAGATCCTTGTGGAGCAGTTTAGCTGGAGATAGTGCAGGTTATGCAACATGCAACCCGTTCCAACCACCTGTGTGGCAGCAGGGTGTTGGCATCTCACCGCTCCCTGACATCGCATACTCGTGTGGCTCACTGTGCTCTTGCAGCTCAATTTTGGGGACATAAACCTCATTCCCGCAGCTCCCCATGGGAGATAGGCGCTTTGGTCTTGCAGCTCACTGTTGGAGAGAGTCACCTCTGTCCCGCAGCTCATCCTTGGAGACACGCTGCACCTTGGTCCCACCGATGTTCACTCTGCAGGAGCCACAGTAACAAGGAGAAGGGACCATGTGGGCCCTGTTTGAGGTGACATGCAGAGTGGCACCCTGACCTCATGGAAGCTCTTCTAGAAGAAGAGGGCACTGGCTTGTCCATAGTAGACAGGGAATGCTTTACCAATAGGATCTGGCAGTGCAGATTGAGCCCGTGTAGCTGGTAGGTATGGTATCCACAACTCTGCAGGGATTGCCAGGGTGGTGGCGATTCTCTGGTCCGTTGAGATGGGGACCCAGTGAGTGATGTGCCGGAGTTAAAGGGCTGGCAGGCAGCCTTGTAAAGACCTCATCAATCTGAACCCGCCCATGACTGCTGTTTCCCCGGTCCAAAGTCTCCTCTCCATGGGGGGAAGAAGGGATGGTGGATGAGGTCAATGCCTGGAAGGGTGTAGATGTGTAGGCACATGTCTGTTGCAAAACAGCCATGGAGGGCTGTGCAGTGTGGCCTGTGCTAGTGAGTGCACTGGGATGGGAGGCCGAGGAGGCCTGGGGCGGTGGGAAGTGCACTGGCATGCTCCCGCTCATCTTTTCTGGGGGTGCAAATCATCTGTTCTATAGGACCCTTGTGAGCAGCTGGGAAGCGAGCCAGTTTGCTCTGTTTGACCCTGAGCCCAAGGTTGTTCTCGGGTTCAAATAGCAAAGTGAATATAAATGTACCCAGAGTCACTATGGGTGGAGTTCATCTAAGATTAGGTGCTTATAACACAGGCGTCTGTTTTTATAGCTATTTTTATAGTCAGCGGAGTACTAGTAAATACAAACCACAGGGTTCAGGCGTGTTTCATTTTTCCCTAATGTGGGATGAATTGTACTCTGAGCTCTGTTGACTCTGTCTCCTGTAATGGGAGCCTGGGCAACTACCACAGGTGGGTGAATCTACAAAGCAGGTGGAGTGAGGTGAGGTGGATCTCACCATGAGTGCCTACAAGGCCGCTGAGAACCATCAGCTGGGCCGAGGAGAGTTTTGCGGAGGGATGGACCGAGCGAGCTCAGGCCTGCCTGTTTGCTGGCTGCTTGGCGTGCAAGCGTTCACATGCGTGGCTGCAGTTCGGACACAGCGCAGACTGCCCTTTGCTGCCAAGAAACTTGCGTAAAAACTGTGGGGAGAGAGGAGATACTATCATGGGGTCTCAAATTTAGGAGAAGTTGAGGAAGCCTGAGGATCTTGCAAGGGCACAAAGGAAGTGGAGAAGAAGGGATACTGTAGCTATTGAGACGGGGCACATAGGGGATGGTTTCAGACCCTGCAGGGAACCAGGCTCTCCCAGAGCAGCTGCCCCAGGGAACAGCTTGGTTGCCTCTATCCTGTGTCAGAAGCTTCCATTTTCCCCCATTCCCCTTTGATGTGGTACGCAGCATGGCAGCTGACTGTCACCGTCTCTCGGAAGTTTGCTCTACTGAGGGGCAGTGACTCTGTTCTGCTGGGTTTTTAGAAATGTACTTGTACACCATGAATCTCTTCTTAGGCTCCTGGGTCTGTCTCTTTGGGTGTAGCCATAAGACTGGGGTCAAAGGCTTTGTGATCCCTGCAGTTTTCAGAGCTGATTCAGAAGCATAGCTTGTATTTAAAAATAATAAAAAAAAGTCAGCAGAAGGCTTGCGTGTAATTAGCTCCGTTCTCCCAGGAGAGAATTGACATTCATTTCTCACTACTTCCAGAAATATTTGGTTTTGTGAAATGTTTTTTTCTTTCCCTTTCAACATTTTTCTGGTATTTTCCTGTTGCTGAGTTACCTTGAGGTGGGTTTTGCCGGTAAGCTCTGTTTCTACACCAAGAGGAATGGCTGAAGCTTGACTGACGCGTTCATTTTCAGCATGAACTTCCATGAAGCCTTTTCATGGGTGCTGTTGAAAAGTGACTGTCTGGTTTGCAGTAGTGGCAGGACAAAATGATTCTTGCAAAATACTATTTCATCTCCCTTTGTTTAGGGACTGAAAATGCAGATATTGGGCAGAAAGAAAGAGGGTGTAATTCTGCAGTTGTTGATCCTCGTGCAGTGAACTGTTTTGAGCAAGGACTGAAAGGCGGAATGTGAAAGAGAGATCCTACCAGAAAAAAGCTTCCATCCAGTTGTTGGTTTCGAGAAACACTCCTGAAGACCATCTTTATTTATTTGATGGCACCAGTTGAAAAAAGAAACATTGATGTTGTAATGTCTGTGTGTGTACATGTGTTTGTTTTGCAGCTGGAACAGTTTTAACTATCGGAAAACAGCTACATCCCACTCTGCGCGGTCAGGATCATGCACTTACCAGGAACCATCTTCAGAGCCCTTCCAAAAAAGGACATTTCCAGCATTGATGTGAGTGTGGGTGGAAGAGAAAGCAGCGAGTGAGCATCGGGGGGTTCTTGTGCCCGCAGAAGGCTTTGTCAGATAAGGTGGGTCACATTTTCCACATTTCTATTCTCCTTGTGTATTCAGCCTTCTGCTGCACGAACCTGGATGCACAGGTGGTGGATGCCATCCTCGTGCGTCCTGTTCATGACCAGTGAGCGCTGGCTGGGACCAGTGCTGGAGCATGAGTACAGACAAAAGGAGGAAGGTGGAAGCCCCTTGGCTTCCTTTGTCCTCAGGAAGCTTTGATGTTAACCTCAAATCCAGGTCAACCTCATGAGACCGTGTATGTTATAAGCTGTAATGTGTAGTTCTCTGGAGCAGGTAACATCTGTAACAATTCTCCAGAAAGCTCCACCTGCTTCTCAGTCAGGCAAAGGACTTCAGGTTCCCAGGACTTCTTGCTTCTGGAGAAGTCCTGGGAACTCCTAAAGCTGGTGTGACACCCCCTTCTCCTCCATCCCAGCATTTTCTGCCCTGTGTGAGCTGCGTTGTCACGTATCGTCAGTCTGCCACAGTTTGGATCTGTTTCCTTACATGCAGTGAATTAAAGGCTCAGATTTCATATAAGAGCAGCTAGAGGTGGTGTGAATGCTTGCAGTCGTAGTGAAATCGGTGATAGGCCATCCTGGTCAGCATACCTGTGGAAGGCAAAGCTGAGACACTGACGTATGTATATGTAAAGTAAGACCGTGTCTGGAAAGCATCTGTTAAACTAAAGAAACACAGCATAGCAACCCATGCTGAAGGAAGCTTTGTGGATCTGAAATGGGATGACACAGATGATGATAGAGGAAAGCCGCATTTTTTAGGAGCCAGACCTATGTGTGGCCCTATGTGCACAGACCCCTCTCCCCTCTTTGGGATGACTATTAATAGCATGGGGTCTGGCCAGCCCAAACTCAAATGGTGTGTGGGTCTGTTTGGTTACTGCAGAACTATTTGGCAACTCTGGGTGAATGCCCCTAAATAATCCTGCTGGCACCAGGTGTTGGAGAGCTTGAGGCTTTAGAAACTTTTGGGTCAAATTTACTCTTGTTAAATAAACAATGGGTGTTGATTAGATCATATGACAGACCAACCGAGCACCCTTTCAAATACTGCAACTCATTGGAGTTCATTTTTGTGTATTTAGGTACTCAGAATCCCTAGAAATAGTTGCTTTGGTGAAAGAACTATTAAGTCTTTTACTCATGCAACTATATATACTTTTATATGCATGGCCCTGCGCACACGGATAGGAGGATTTTTGAGGCTGCTTAAAGGATTTGGATGCTCACTTTGTTTGGTTTAGTTGGAGACTTGAATCCCTTAGGCAGATTTGAAAATCTCAGCCATAATTCTTTGCTTATTTTAGTACATCAGGGCAAGACCTTTTCCCTGTTAAAATAATTTCTAAGTACTCCTTTCTTGCTGCCATAAAATAAAAATAAAAATGTGTTTAAGTGGAATTTTAAGAAGTGTTTGTTTCTCTAGACGTATCCATTTGTCTTACTCATTTGCTGTTTTGTTTACTGAGGAAGTTCTTAAGTCACAGTCTGTCTATATTTTGTACTGAGTAGAGTAGCAAGGAGCTTGTCAGCACTAAACATACAGATTTATAAATGCCTCTTGTTATGATTATTTATACAGCTTAAATGTCCTGGAAAGGTTTTCTCATCTTAAATCTCTCAGCAGTACAATTACATATCTGGCCTCCAAATATATGTCAGGAAAACATCATATGGCCCTGCCAAATGCAATACCTGCATATGCACGCGCGCGTGCGCGCGCACACACACACACACACGGTATTGGTTTGCAGCGGGGGGAAAGAAGCGAGGAGTGAAATATGTAAACAGAGTTTAGTAGGTGAAAGGCTGCAGGGGCCACGTGTGCTCTGTTTACGTGGGTCCCGAGCGGGAAGCGCTCATGTTGCACAGGCAGTTTTGTTCGGGCAGGAAGAGGAGAGCACAGCCTGTCTCGGTGTTGCTTCCGAAGGCACCTTGTTACGCTAATCCCCGTGTCTGGCGAGGTCGTGCTTGAAGCTCGGAGGAGCTGCAGCGCAGGGCGTACCGTCCCGGTGCCCTCTCAGCTGCTCTGCTGCAAGTAAACCATCAGCCCCACCTCGGGGGAGGCCAGTGCAAGCAAGGGGCTGCTCTTCAGGTCTTCTCCCCTGTTGTCTCCCACGCGGAAGCAGCTGTGGTCAGGTGGACGCCAGCCTCCTTGCCCTGTTAGTCAGGCTACGCAGTGCGGTCTCGGGCTGCGCAGGGTCAGCGTTGCCTTTCTGAGCTGCCTGGGTGATGGAGGAGGTGAGCTGACGGACTGCAGTATGCTGGAGCAAGCCCAAGTGTGGGGGAAATGAATCCATCCTCAGACCTGACTTGGATCTTGTTGCCACTCTTTTAATATTGGGTTTGACTTCTGGTTTAGAGTGACATTTTCCTGTTTTACGCCCACCGAGGAGGGGATTTCCTTGGGAGTAACACACCAAAATAAACAGAACTCTGTGGAATTTGCTTTTACTCAGAGTGAGCAAGGACTGGCGGTGCTTTAGGCACACATGAAGGAAGATGCAAATTAAAGGGTTTAGACAGGTTTTTAAATGTTACTTTGCCTTCCTGCGAGTATTGAAGTGCCATGGACCTTAGATTTTATTTTGCTTGCAAGTGCTGGAAATGATGCAGGTGTTTTGTTAAAGAAAATGTTCACAGACCATTGTCCCCAGAAGTTTATCAAAGGCTTTTTTTTCCCCCTGTTTCCTCTCCGGCTTCAAGAACAAGAGCCGACAAGTCAGACTCCAGGCCCTGGAAGGACCGCACGCCCCGCAGCTGGCCCTGCGGCAGGAAGAGCTGACTACTCCCATGGAGTGCCAGCCACCTGCCTGGAGCACCAGCACCTTCTCCTATGCTCATACCCTATAGCTTTTTTTTTTTTTTAAATTGTGGCCTAGGATGTGGCCTGGATCACGCTCAAGAGAGGAGCCTGTGGCCATCCCAGACGGCTGTGGTACCTGCTGTGGGTGTAAGCCCCTCTGCAGGACTTGCTCTGCCGGGCTGAGGACGTGCTCCCTTTGCACGCTCCCAGACATGCTCTGGTTGGACTCTGGTCGAAGAGGAGTGGCCATAGAGCAGGCTGGAGGCGTCTGCCCCTTCCCCAGGGCTGGCCCTGCTCCCTCGGTGCCCACCGCAAGAGCAGCCACGTGTTCTGTCGGGGCGATAGGGAGTGTCTGGCAGCTCCTCTCCGCCCTGGGTGGGAGAAGTCTCTGCTGTGGGCTGAAAGCACCGACAGCAGATGCAGGGAATGACAGCTCGGTGGCTGCGTCCATCGTCCTTCAGGAGCGCCTGCAGACCCGGTTGGTTACTCATCCACAACTCGTGCCAGCTCTGGAGAGGCCTGAAGGAGACGGGCAAACCACCACGTCACCCTCCTCCTTTGCTGTTCCTCTGCGGGCACAGGACAGCCTGTGAACCACGGTTGCGAAACCCCATGATCACTGATTTAAAAAAAAACAAAACAAAAGCTAGAATCATTTAATAGGCCTGTCCCTGCTCATCCTGTCCTGTGATTTACAGACAGCACAGAAACTTCAGATGAATTATGAACTAGGTACCAAGCCAAACACTAGGCTTTCATCTGGAGCATTACAGTTCTGCTGCTTGCTTTTATCAGTTTGCTCAACAGGGCAAGAGAGCACAGTGCAGAAGCTGAATTCCTGTGAAAAAATTAACAATCTACTTAATGCTGAAACAATGCCTTCCGACTTGCTGTCAGGGCCTTCAGCTAGTTTGAGCTTAGCTTATTCCAGACCAGGCTGCTTTATATGTCATGGCGCATGTCCTCAACTTCACCCTTCCATTGTACGGCTTATCTGAAACCCTGCTCCTGGGATTTGCGGTCGTTCGTTCAAAATTAAAAATGAGACAAATAACCTTAGGTCTTAATTGAGTGCATAATCAGTAGAAGCTGGGAACTGTACTGGGTAAAGAAATGACTGGTTTATCGAATGTCTGTCACGAGGACATGCCGCAGAAGTGTCCCAAAGCCCAGCGTTGTGTGTGTGTGTGTGTAAAACATAGGTATAAACAGAGGGCTTGCAAGACAACATGTTTTAAGGTGAAGTTGCTACAGTATGAGACAAACCCCAGAAGCCCGAAGGGACAATGTCAATGTGAGTTTGGGGGATCTTAAGTAGTCACTGGAAAGGCAAAAAAAATGCACACATAGAAAGAAAATGTGATCGTGTGGGAACAGGCAGCTGAAGCGAGCCCGGCTGCCCTCTCTCCACACCCTGCCAGTGCCAAGGGCAGCACACGGGGCACAAGGGCTCAGCCCACGGCACAGGGAGCCTGCGCCAGCTCCTGGAAAAACCTGGCGCTTCAGGGGGGAAGGTGCCGCAGTGAACTGCGGGAGGCTCCGGCGTGGCAGGGAGCAGCGGGGGCAGGGCAGCCCCCCTCCCCCCCGGCCCCCCTCCCCCGG